AAGTATTTGGCTTTTCCGAGATTTGATAAAATCACTGAAGGGTCCTGCATTGGATACCTATCAGGTATAGTATTTTCATTTAGTTTTTTATAGTCAATTACGAGTCTTAGTTTTGGAGTTCCATCTTCATTGAAACCCTTTTTTGGTACCACTAGTACAGGGGAATTATAAGGACTTCTACTTGGCCTTATAATTTCTTCTTTTAGCATTCGACTTATTTCAGAATTTACAAAATCTGAAGCTGATAGAGCATAAGGGTATTGTTTGCTGTAAATGGCCCTATCATTTACGGTGTTTATTTCACCGCGTATATCTGTCCTAAAAGGAATCTGCATATTTATTTTTGAATGCTCTTCATTTATAATATTTAATATTTCATTCTCCAGATCTTTTCTTTGATCTGCAGATGATATTTTTATGTTGTTTATTTTTTGATTGTCGGATAGTTCAACGACGGCGTGTTCAGAATTTTTCAATTCCAAACTTTTATTTTTGTCGGATATTTCAACGACGGCGTGTTCAGAATTTTTCAATTCCAAACTTTTATTTTTGTTGGATATTTCAACGACGGCGTGTTCGGAATTTTTAAATTCCAAACTTTTATTTTTGTCGGATATTTCAACGACGGCGTGTTCAGGATTTGTATATCCCAAACTAAATTCGCTTTGATTACCCATTTCAGATTCGGATCTGATTTGAGCCTTTTCATCAAAGTATTTTTTTAATATAAATTCTTTTAATGGAAGAATGGTGTTTTCTTCTGTTAAAGAATGTTGGTTTAAATTGTTTCCGTTGTCATAATTTAATTTCTCTTCTATTCCGTTATATTTAATAACTCCCTTAGCTGTATCAATCACAGCTCCTATTTTTTTCAATAGGTTATAGCCGATCAGTAGATCTGAGTCTAGCCCTTCTATTTCATAAAAAGTATACCGTGTATCCAAAATAGTTCTTATATGATAATATTTAATTATTGAATATCCATTCACTGTGGATACTCTTTTGTATATTGGAAGCTCATTTTTATTTTTGTAAACTCCAGTTCTAATATAACACGAGGTTGCCCCAGTGTCAATTAATATTTTTAATTTTTTATTTATTTTCGGGTCATTCCTAAATAAGTAGGGTAAGCCTACTCCTGACTTTTGTCTAAAAAATGGTTCTCCTCAATGTTGTTTAGTCTCATTGTCTTGTTAGCCGGTTGGTTAACAGTTCCCGTTGGTACCCTTTTATTTTGGGCTTGTCCTTGCTGAGTATTCTGGGTATCAAACTTTTTTGTTTGATCCCACTTGTTTTGGCTATAATTATTATTTTGATATTTATTATAGTTTTGATTATAGCCGTTGTTAGCCCTATTCTGAACCTGGATAGACTCGTCTACCTCCATTGGTTCTGGCTTATTTTGTGGCTGCCTATAGGTGTTCCACTGATTTTGTTGGTTATTATTAAATCTACCCTGGTTCCAGGAATTATTTTTGTTCTGATTATAATAACCATAATTATTTTTGTTCTGGTTGTTGTCATGATTAAACCTTAAATTATTACTACTTCGATGGTTATTGTAATTGTTGTTTTTTTGTCTTTGCTTTTGGTTGAAATGTGTTTGTCCATTTTCACCAGAGTTTGGCTCACTATTTTTTCTCTGAGTGGTTGAGAAACTGTTTGCGAAATGCGCCCTCATGTTGTTGCTTTCTAATTCCTGAACTATGACCATTGCATTCGGTAGGTCAGGTGGATTCATTGAGAAAATTGTGTCTGAAATTTGGCCGTTTAGGCCGGTAATGAAAACTCTAAGAGCAGTCTTCCTATGTTTTTCATTCATTTCTGCTGTTATCGGTTTGTTTCTCCCGTAGGTCATAATTGTTTTATTAATAAGTAGAGTTAACTTTCTATTAACTGTACCATAATAATCCATAATTGATAATTTTCCCTGACTCAAAACACTTAGTTCCTGTTCAATAATATGAATAGGACGTTTGTCGCTAAAGACAAAGTCAAGTCTGGCCATTATGGCATCGAAATTTAATACCGTACCGTTATGGGTTAAGGCATCGTTTGCCATTCCCGTTATTTTGTTTCTTAATATCGATAGGGCGGAATAAAATCTTTCACTCCCTCTGGCATATTGCCCCATAGCTATTTCAGCCGATTCTCTCCAGCTTACATATTTATCTTCTTCTCCTTTATATTCCCTAACAGATTTGATGATCTCATAAGATGTGTCGCACTTTATATTTGGATCTATAATCTCTATCTGATAATCTTCAACCGTTTTAACTTTATGAGAAAGCTGCGATCTTAAGTTAACGATCTCTTCCTTTAATGGATTCAATTCAAAATTTACAATTTGTTTAATTAAATCTCCTACATTTAACATGGTATTGTTTGTTATCGCCTGATGATGTTCTTGAGGCGAACTTATGTGGAGTCTTTTATTTGCTCCGTTCTGGCTTGTTGAAGGTTCTGACATTTTGAGAATATTTTCGAAATCAGAAATTAATTCTTCCACTTTGTATAATTATATTTTTTTTACAAATTTCTTATTAAATAATAATAATAATAAAAAAAAGGATTATATCGCTCACGAATCGTCCTCCTTATTTTTCTTGTCGTTGTTTTTGGGGTTGTTGTTTTTCTTAGATGATGATCCTGCTTGGGGTCGTCCTTCCTTTTTTTGTATCTTGGGGTCTTCCTTCCTTCTTCGGGTTTTTAAATTGATGTCTTCCTTCTTTCTTCAGTGTTTATTTCTTGGCGAGGGATTGCCCTTCAGCCTTTTTGTCTTTAAATGTCTTTTCGAAGATTTGTTTGTAGATTTTTGTTTTTAGATATTTTTTTAATTAAATTGTTTTCCACAATGGTTATTTATTTCGATGAATTTTGTTGTCACTTTTTAAATTTTTTATTTTGTCCGAGCAGTGAATTTATGTTACGAACACTATTTTGTAATGTGAGATTTTAAGGGGATTATTCCATTAATTATTTTCCACCTTATTATTTTTTGATCAACACAAACTTTTTATTTTTTTGCCGGTTGTATAGAGTTTAAGGGGATTATTGCATTTATTAATTTCCACCTTATTTTTTTCAACACAGGCTTTATATTTTCGTCGGTTGTATCGGGTTGTTGGCCGCGCAAAATTCCTTTTTCACTTTTAAACTTTTTTGGGGTTTACTTAAAAGCTTTGCTTTAGAATTTTTTAATCACACGGCCCCACGTTGGGCGCCAATTAAGTTTCTCACTAGTGAATTGATTAAAAAAATTTATTTTTATTTTTAACAATCACTTATTCACTATTACAATTTTACAATAGGTCGAACTTATTTAATTCACTGCTCTTGTATTTATTCTCGAATATTTGTTCTGCTCGATTCGGATCTCAAAAACGGACTGCCTGATCTCTAGTTCAATGATCAATAATCAAACCTCGGCTTAAGAGATTTTATCCCCAAAAATTGATAAAGAGAATGACTCAAGAGAGTCGGAAAATAGGATGATGCAATTTGCCAATTAAATTCGAAGTCCAATCTTGGCCGGAAATTGGTGTTTACATTAGCGGAGTTTAGGGACCGCTTTGGGGATCTTTTTGTTTACGTTAGCGGACTCGGGACTCGCTTTGGGGATCTTTTGTTTACGTTAGCGGACTCAGGGCTCGCTTGGGTCTCCGATTGTTTACAATATCGGTTTGGATGTTTACAGCATCCGTTTGATTCGGACTGCGTGAAATTGATCTGGGTGGGAATGATTTGGAGGCCTGCTTGGCAGAAATAGCTGACCACGGATTTATCTCGGGTCTGTCAGAGTTCTTTGGAAATTAGCTCTCGGCTCAAAGTTGTTTATAAATTGGGTAAGAGCCCCTAAATAATGTGTCATATAACTTGCATGCGTACGGAATTACCGATCACCCTCGCATACTTTATTAAATAAATTAGATAAATATAAAAAAAAAGGTCTTTAAAGCAATGGCTCGAAAACGTTATTGAATTGACGGTCAGATGAAACGTCTCCTTCAGTGCGTTGCAAACCTCTGCCTGAAAAATACCCTCCCAAGGGTATAAAAAAAGCCCTATCATTTTTTTCTCTCCCTCTCTCTCTTTAATGCTTTTCCTGTCATAAAATATCTGAGGCAACAACATAAGAAACCACAATAACAAAAATAAAGACCTTGTGTGCGGGCCCTTTTGTTGTTTTGCTCATTTACTGACTTTCAATAGATGAGCGACGAAAGGTTTCGTTTGAATCGAGCGGTCGGTAAGGGACCGATTCGTGTGTTACAGTCAACCAAACACCCGAGACCGAGACCTTCAACGAAGCGAAAATAGTTGACCGTATTGTACGAACTCTGATTTTTCCACATTCAATGTCATTCGAAAGTTACAGCGCTGACAAGGATTGCCCAGCAGAGCGCTCAAGAAAGCACTTTAAAATTCGCTTTTCCTCAAGCCACGTTTTATCAACTGGTAGTCACATACGGCTTGACCGAACGCGTTTATTTTAATGAATATGTTCAAAAGATGTGCAACTATTGTATGAATTAAAAAATTAAAACAAAGCACGTAGTTATTTTTAATACAACAACATCCAAAAATAACTGCTATCATTTTTTAATATTTTTAATTGTTTCAGTTCATACGAAAAGTAAATTCCCCCAAACCAAAATTTTTTGGAATCCGATCACTCGTTTGGCCCGAATTGGGTATTTTATTTTTGGGTTACTTTAAAGAGCTGTTTAACAAAAAGCTTACATTTTTTAAAAAGATTGTTTGCAATTAAAATGTCAAATTTTTAATGGTTCTTCAGAAAAAATTTCAAATGAAAACATTCAAACGGCCAAGACTGAATTAGAATGTTAGGAATCTGCATGTCAAATCTTAACTATCTAGCCTTTACAGTTCCCAGATCTCAGAGCTTAAACGTTTGAAAATTGATGGAATGACCGACTACAACTAAACCTTAAAATAACTTGTACTATGAATCGAAACAAAATGAATTTTTTTTACAGATCCCAGCATATGCACATATCGATTATGCCCTGGTGGGAAACAATTCCAGCATATACATTTCGGAATTTTCAGACTATGGATCACTAATCGGCGTTTGCAACAAGGTTAAGAGTATTACCAGCAGGAACATAGACGAGTATGTGGTAATGCATTTGAGCTGTCAGATGCTCGACATTGTGGATCATCTGCACGCCATGGGTATCATTCATGCCGACATAAAGCCGGACAACTTTCTGCTACTGAGGCCGTAAGCACATCCAGCCAACTACTTTAAAAACCTTGCAGATCATTTTAATAATTCCTTCTGTTTCAGGCTAGATGCGGATCCCAACAATGTGAGTCTGCAGCTTATTGACTTCGGTGTGTCTATAGACACTAAGTTCTTTCCGAAAAATTACACATTTAATTATGTCCATCACGATGATCTGTTTAAGTGCATTGAAATGCGAACCCAGCGACCGTGGACTTATCAGCTGGATTTATTTGGTCTTGTAAGCGTTATGCATGTGCTGCTTTTCGGGCGCTATATGGAAGTGACTCAACGAACTCCAAGCCCAATTTGGATGCCGAAGACAACCGTGCCTCGCTACTTTCAGCGGCAAATGTGGGAGAACATCTTCCGAACACTGCTTAACATTAGAGACTGCCGCACCATGCCCAATCTACAGCAATTACGTACGCAGCTTAAGTCTGCGCTAGCTGAGAAGGAAAAATATGTCGGAGAGGCCATAAGCAAGTTCAATACGACACTACAAAAATAGCTTGATTCACAAATTTTTTGTATCAGCTATTCTTATTTTTTACTACACAATAAAAACAATAAATTTTAAAATAGTTATTAGGCAACAATGTTTTCTTTATAATGATTTTCAAAAGCTTCTGAAAATATACAGTTTAGTCAATTAAAGAATGCCAGCTTTGAGTCGAATATCGTTTTCAGCCAAAAATCCCACGCCATAAATAACTGTTGACCAATTCTTGCGGTCGCAAAATAAGTGTATTTCTCTCCGACTTTGAGGAAAGAATCCGAGAGCATCCGATTGTTTTTTCCGTTCTCTTTTGCTCGGCTCATTCAGGTACCGTTTGATTTTGAACGAAGATTCCTTCGTGTGACTTGGCTTCCTCTATTTCGCGTGTTAGCAGTGCTCCAATTAAAAAATAGACGTGATTACAATAAAAAAGTGCATCAATTTTTGAAATTTAATACATGGACAAAAAATCGGAGTGTAAAGTATGCGGAGTAAAACTAGCAGGCCATCATTGAGAGCTTACCACTGTGCACCGGAAAGAAAAGAAATTATTGAAAAGACCGCTTGCGTTGTCTTTTTAGTCAATCGGTCTTTTAATAAGTTTCTCTGACGAGTGTGACTAGAATCTCTTATTGTGCGATGTTCGGTAAGAGAGCGCCTCCCGAACAGCTTAACGTAAAACGCTTAACAGAAACCCAAAACGAAAAGTAACGAAGTCTACTGCTCAAAAAAGAACATAACATATTTGTGTATAGATTGCAGTATTCCGCGAAACACAAATGTCTAACGATAAAATACCTTAATTTTTTGTTCATTTTTCGATTTTTAAGGCCGTGGGTGCACTTCCTTGAAAGTGTGTTTTGGCTATTGTCCCATTTCAACCTTCTCGTTGACAGCACATACCAAAGGAAGTCCAATATCCGTCTGTCTGGTGAGAAACTTAGCACCGCAAAAGTATAACGATTTTAATTAAAGAAGGCGTTTGTTGCCGACAACAATAGAATGGTGGTTGGCGTTCTTGCGGGGACTATCGCAAGCTGAATGATATAACGTACCTCAGCGTTACCTAATTGCTCACTTCCACTACTTCTTGGAGTAGCTACACGGAAAAACAATATTTTCTACACTCCATATGGTACTCCTAAAACCGCCGTTAGCATTCCGTACTGTTCTACATGCCGTTCGGTTCAAAGAACGCTATGAAAACCTTCCAATGATTCATTGAAAATATTTTTCGTGGCGATGATTTCGTTTATTGCTATATAGACGATATCCCAATGATGTCTAACCTACCTGTGGAACGCGAAAAACATATTCGTGTCGTCTTGGAGATCCTTCGTAGCCATGGACTCAGGGTCAGCCTTAGAAAGTATCAGGTGGCTCAGGCAGAGGTGCAGTTTCTCAGCTACTTCATCAATGAGCACGGAATCAAACCTTCAAGTCCGTGAATAGTAGCAATTGAAAACTATGCGAGGCCTTCTACAATCAGTGAATTCGGACGATTTCTCGGTACCTGCCTTGTTCGATACTCAATTAGGTACAACTTTTAGAACTCCTGAGAAACGTCAGGAAAAGCAACTGACCGTAGATTTTATCGCCGCCTGTAAGGCATGCAAGAAACGAAACATGCAAAAGAATCGCGTTTTCTCGTCTCTCACAAATCTCGTCCGTTGTATTTTTATACCCGTTAGCGGCGGTTTGTTTCAGCAGGGTGCCACGCCCACTCTAACGCTTACAAACGCCCATAACGCTAAAACTAGTCTAGCACTCACATTTTTAAATATTTTAAATTTAAATAAGATTTAATTTTGATTATTAATGTCAAACTACATGGCAAAAATTGTTACATTCGGGAATGTTCGGGCGGGGTGGCTTGATCGCTGAAATAGGGTTAAGTTCCAAGAACGAAGGTACGAAAAAACACGGGTGTACTTTGGGGTTTATTGTTACACTTTGAATAAATAACTCTTTAAGTCTAACTTAACTTAAGCGCTCCAGAGCGGAGTGGAGACTTAAAATGAGAGATGGTGAGGGAGAGCGAAGAGCAGTGCGGGCGCGCGAGATGTGGACAACTGGATAAAACTGTCGCTCGACACTGCCTCCAGGAATTAAACGCCCTTTTGGCGTGAACATTCTAGGCTAGGGGATCGTCTACCGTCACGGCACGAGGTGGTTATTCTTCGAATACAGATCGCAGCCTTTGGGTATCGGAACTACCTTTGTGTTGAAGGAATTTATTTTTGGAAATTCTGCCACTCGATTTATGTCTGTGGACTGGACATGGAGGAAATTGGCAAATCGGAAGCTATCGACGGTCTCAAGAATTCGATGGCTCTCCGTAAAAAGGATTCAAGCTCAAGCCACGTAGGAATTTAGGCTTTATTTTGGATGGATTGCTCCCATAATGAGAGCGTGATCTTTTGTAGATTTGTTGAGCACATATAAACCAGGATAGGGTCTCAATTCTTAATATTAACGCCGAAAAATTGTAAGGAAGTTAAGCAACCTTGTAAAGTGCGTTGAAGTTCCTTTAAAGTTGCTCCAGACTCATGTGCTATGGATTGCACATTGAACTGAGTTTTCAAGTGACTGTTCACCTGCAATGGCATATTTTCGAAACGCTTAGTTTGGTTTTCCCAGGCAGAGCGAAAGCCATCATTGGTGAGTGAGGATCTCGAAACTATGGAATGAGCTTCTCCACTTGTTTTTAAATTTAAGTGGAATAATTGCATTTTCTATGTATATCGCAGTGAAAAGGTCCCGTAAAGTCGGCCAACGAAGATAATCGCCCGAGAAAACCTCTGTGTGGATAGGAGGGAATCGACAGCCATAATACGTGGAATTTTGGGATGGAGTTACTGGAACTTGAAGTATTTGAGAGGAGCCCTGTTGGATTTGTTCCATGAGATGCGCGACAAACATTTCATAAGTGGAGTACGTTTGGTATAACTTGGATTTTAGGGATAGGAGCACCTGGAGCGTTCACAGTGGCCTCAAAGTGGATCAGACAGTCAGCTGTGGCCATAAATCAGGATAAAGCGGATTTTGCTGATGTTGCCATGACGGAAATAATTCAGAATTTTAATTTCGAAGTAGGGAAACGGAAATGGGCTAGAAACTAATTGGAATTTAGCAACCAATCAAGGTGCGTAAAAATAAACGGTCACACTGTCTGATAGGCAAATTCAACAAATATTTATTATAACGGCAAAAATTCTGACTTTAATTTTGATTCTTTGGAAGGAACATATACATATTATATACGTACATATATGTACACTATGTACACTATGTATGTGGGGTGCGAGTAGCGGAATAACGTTGCGGGACGTTGCACAATTTAATTGCAGATGATTTGCTGGACAAAATTTGTGGATATTGTAACTTTGTTTTTAATTTTAGAAATAAGTTAGCCGTAATTGTAGGTCGAGAAAAGTATTTGGAGTGGACTGTATTAGAAAGAGTAGTTAAAGTAGACTATTAGAATATTTATGTAAGTATCAGCTCCCAGCTGAAACACAGTAAAAAACAAGGAAAAACGCTATAGTCGAGTACCTCGACTATCAGATACCCGTTACTCAGCTAAATGGAGATATGCAAGCAGCAAAGCGATATTAAAATGCGCCACCTACCGGCGGTAGACAAATTTAAGCGTTATGGGCGTTAGAGTGGGCGTGTCAAACTTTTTGTGAGTCAATCGATAGGTATTGATGAGAACAATACATTTCAGTTAACATTTTTATTCTAGCATCAAAACTGTAGGAGCCACAGTTTTGGGCGGTTTGTGGGCGTTAGAGTGGGCATGGCACTCTGCTGAAACAAACTTGCGCTGCGTAAGAAGCTCAGGAATCTGTACGCCAAATCTCAATAGCCTAGCTCTTATAGTTTCCGAGATCTCAGCGTTCATCCGGACAGGCAGACGGACATGGCTAGATCGACTCGGCTAGTGACCCTGATCAAGAATATATATACTTTATGGGGTCGGAAACGCTTCCTTCTGCCTGTTACATACTTTCTGACGAACCTAGTATACCCTTTCCGAAAGTTTTCACTGTGGCTGTGTTGTGTTCTACACACAATTGGAATTTAAAAAAATATATGAAACACATTTCGTTGAATAGTAGCACTGGAATTATTTAAAGTGCACAATTATTTGCAAAGGAAACTGGAATATTGTCGTGCACAAATAACGGAATTGAAATATGTACATATATTAAATGCCGTTGCGTCGGATTAATCACTGTTGGATTTATATCATACAGAATGTTAGTCAAAAAAAAACTGGCTGTATGACCGGCAAATAATAGTAAGTGGAACTTATCTGAAGTGGTTCAAGCCTGCTGGGAAAAAAACCAGAAAACTCCAGGAGAGGAAAATCCAGAGTTAGAAACTCGGCTCGAAGGACCAGAATCTTGGGGCGGGGCGGCTTGATCGCTGAAATAGGAGGAAGTCCCAAGAACGAAGGTACGAAAAAACACGGGTGTACTTTGCAGTTTCGTTGGCGACGTGCGTGGGTGTTTATTGTTACACTTTGAAAATATAACTCCTTAAGCCTAACGTAGACATCTGAATAAAACTGCCGCTCGACACTGCCCCCCCCCCCCCACTTTCGGGGACAGCCGTAGCAAGATTCTTAGGATAGTATAAAGGAAGTGAAGATCGATCATATGTAGGAGAGTGTGGTGGCCCTTTCCACACTTGTGGCAGTGAAGATTACTGCGGCAGGAGTCTTTGGAATGACTGTGCGCGAAGCAATTGGAGAAGTACTTCTGGATATGTACTTCCTGGAGTCGTTTCTGGGGGCTATGCCGCAGCAAGTGGTGGCCTTTCCGTAGAGGATGGATCATTTGGCAGTCTCGGCATTGGTAGGATTTAATACCTCGAGTACGTCTGCCATGCACGTTATCCAGTTCATGATCCCAGCCTCTTTACCCAATTTATAAACAACAGTATGACGCTTCTGCTTGAAATGTTCTGTTTGTTTTTCCGTTATTTGTTCATATGTCTGCTGGCCCAAGTTTTCGCTACCAAACAGATTTTTTACAAGCTCAAATATGTGAGTGCCTGCCCACGATAGAAAAAACGCCTTTTTCCTAT